AAATGGTTATCTGAAAACCTACGGAATCAGGCAACACATAATTTCCCTGATCACGAACCACCATAATAATAATCATTATTATTTTACTCTTATGCAGCAGTTTCTGTTTTTTGTTGTTCTTTTAATATACGCGCCTTACATTTCGTATCTCTTCACAACTCCATTGCTATTGTGTGGCTCATATGTGTATGGTGCCCGATTGTAACAATATTTATCTGTTCAAATAATTGAATAAAATGATCGTGCTGCATATTCGAGTAAGTGAGACCAGATGGATTATATCTTAGAACACAAAAACAGGGAGAAAATCGTACGCTTTACCTTCCATGTATTTACGTCCTGATAATCGTGGTGGTGAAGTAACTTCTTGTCCCCGATCATGATCAGTTGAATTCTTTCCATCTGAATTGAAGGTTAAGTAGACAGAAGGACCATTGCCACCGGATAGACCACTCAATGTTCCGTTTCTTCGTCCAGATAATCGTAGTGGAACATAACCCTGCTGTCCATATTTTTTGTGATATGAACTCGATCGACTTGCATTGACAATTATGTGGATTTGTGGACCACGTTCACGGAGAGACCTTTCAATGTTCCTCTTATTCGTCCAAATAATGTTGGTGGAAATTTTCCATGATGGTTATGCTAACTCGATCTACCTGTATTATATGGATTTTTGGACCATTTTCACCGGAGCGACCACTCCATGATCCGTTTCTACGTCCAGAGAATGTTGGTGAAAAATTACCATGCTGTCCATGTTGATGCTGATATGAATTCGGTCCATTGGCAGTGACAGTTATTTATACACTTGATTGTATTTTTTATACATTTTAGTCATTTTTTTATATGCACTTGTTCGCTGAACCATATAATGCTGTTTGACTTTGATTTCGAATAAACGATGTACTTATAATATTTTCGAAGTTTTTAATCGATTTCGGTTTTAATTAATTCGAACTCTTGAATAATTTAGTTGCATCTTTGAATCAATTGTTTACTGTGAAATTTGTCTTTTATATCAACTTCACAGTTGGAATAAACTCACAAAACTAACATTATTTCCAGCTAATTGCACACATTAATAAGTAACATCGTGGTATTAAAGTCTAATTCAATTTGTATTAATAGGCGATTTATAGGTCTGTATTGATTGTCCAAATTTAACAATTTTCAAAATGAAATTCTGTTTAGTTTAACAGAAAAGACAACTGATGATATTGGATCAATGGAAAGAAAGTTTGCACCACCAAGTGTTGTTTATTACTCCTAAATATACTATGTACTATCTGCTTTGGTCCATTTAAATGAAACTAGTGAGTTATATCCACTAGTTCAGATAAATTGAAACCTTGGCTATACGAAAACTGAAACACCCCTTATATTCTCAAAAACAATCTGTTCTTACTCTTAACGTATCCTGCAAATACTGATTTGTTATACAGTGTGGTTTTCACATTATTTTTGTGTATTTCATTATTGTTTTTGAATTTGTCGAGTTGACCTTTCATTTTTCACATAAAGCGTCTTAACAAGTACATGTGTGACTAGATTGTTCGAAATGTATAACGTAAATATATAACATAATTTTAATAACCTTCGTCTTCTCACTGCATTACCGAAACATATTCATTTACTGATCATCAATCTGATAACCTCGTTCAACGTGTAGGCTGATTCAAGTTAACATTGCCCACGAGTCATTTCAACATTAACAATTGTATTTTATTTCACAATCCTAACTTCATATCCTATAACTGTAAATGATGTAGTTTGCCTTAACTCTGACAGCGTTTTGGAATAATTATTAGGATATATCATTGTAGAAGCAGAAGAGAATAAGTGTTCGAATATCATGGGTATTTTTATACATTTATTATTTCACAGTTAAAATCACGAATCGATTTAAGATAGAACACTATCGAAAACCTGGAAACACTGAACGACCTATTCGTCCTTGTATGGGGCTCCTCAGCAGTTCTCACCCATGATCCCATATTCGGAACACGAACTTGGGATCCTTGGTCTCGCGTGCGAACGCTTAACCTCTAGACCAATGATTGGTTATTCCCAATTTTGATTTATTATTTCGTTGAATTAGTTTTGTGGAGGTGGGTTTCCAAGTTTTCGGTTGTACTCATCAAGAATTGATTCCAGTTGAAATGCCACCAAGTTGTTATGTAAAGCTCAGTAATAATTTACAACTGTTCAAAATGAAATTTGTACATCTCAGTTTGAAATCGTAGCGATGGTCGGATGCTAAGTGATTTAATCTGTAATCCGCAACTTTATTGTTTGATGGATATGAAGACGAACTATTGATTGTAAACACTGCCCACTTGTTATGGTGTATGGTGTATGTTCCTTCTTCATCTTCGTTATATACTTCTAGATTTCACAATTACTGTTTTCGCGAATGCTACTTATGCTGTCAGATATAAGTAGTATGTAGCAGCAGTCGGAATTGGAATGCCTGTCAGCATAAGATTGAGATGGAGAGAACAGAAAGCAAAACAGAGAGCAGTTGGAATAACGACATAATTGGAAGAATCATGAAGTAGGTAGAAGACAACTATATGCTTTCGCGTGTGATAATAAATTGCTTTTATCCACCAAGTCTTCCTTCATTACTCTATTGACTCTAATTCATTTACCTTTCTATTGACATTTAGGAGAGCAATTGATCATTCTCTTTTTGGTATGTGTACATCCTGTACAGATTGCCTCGATTCTGCCATCAAGTCATATACATTATAAGTAGAGATGGATGATGGCTATCAGTGCTATGCAGGACGCACGTTTCATCCTATTTTGAACTCATCAGATGGATGTGCTTGCTGACCACCATCCACCTTAGCTTATAATACTATTGACTTTGTTATTTAAGTTAACAACAAGAAATATATCGGTTGGCGTTTCCGTTTATTTCTTCTTCATTCTCCCAACGATAACAGTTTCATTTATCCATGACATAAACAGTATACCTACCTTTTAACTGATTTCACTTTTGATTAACCTTTTCGGATGTTCACGCGAAACATTTTCGTCAGTTGTTGTCATCTCTCAGTATCCTTCACAGTTTTGTCAAGTTAACTGTGTGTAATCAAATCTATGCTGATAAAGTGGATCGTCAATGCTTAAATTTTTAAGTGATCAAATTAAATTGAGTGTACGTATTACCAATGCACCAGTTGTTCCTGAATTTCAGACTTAGAATTCTGTATTTGTGGGAGAAGTGAATCATCCATGAATATCCAGGATATGAAACTAAGATTTCAATGTTTTATTGAAATTAAGCACGAAGCTGAACTGGTAGAAGATAAGCTGGATGTAAAATCTGTGATAATTTACGCTCTCGAGTTAATTCATCAGAATAGTTCTTACACCAATTCCTCTTATCGTGTTAGGAGCCTAGTAGAAATACTTTTGATAGTTATCAGTGGTCTAAAACAAATATTATAAGATATTATTTGTCATCACAGAATGAAAATTATTGTGTTAAGTGTGTTAGATACACACTTTTAAAGTGTAGATTGTGCATAATACCTAAGTCACCTAGCTGTGCCCATAGTAAACTATCGATTAACTGACCATGCAAGATGTCCACTATATTAAAACCGAGGTAGTTGAAGACAGGACTAGTAAAATCGACAATAACTGCCACATGTGGCTTCTACATCTCAGTGTTTTTAAGCATTACGATGTTGAATTTTTCCGGTGAATATTTGTGAATATGATGCGTATTGCGATAGAAAGCTTTAAAGAGTATTTGTTTACGATACGATTAATGAGGCCGTGTTGTAACAACTCCACATTATTAAGATAGGAAAACAGATAATGGAAAACTAAAGTGCCTCTCAAAGCCATCACTAACAGATCTCAACACTATTTGATAGGAAATACTTAAAATCGTACAAATTCTATACTCGATAGGAGAAAAGTGACTTGAAATTTCCAGGTCCTCCTAACGTTGTCCTAGACTTCCCTCGATTTTACAGTTGCAATATTGAGTCTGAGGTGACATGAAGTAAATAAAAGTGCTGAAATATCTTACGTTATATTCCTTAAAAGTTTTGAGAGCTCTTCATCTCTGTAGATTAGTTCTATTCATGTTTGTTTTACCAAACCAAAAACTTGTGTTAGCGTTTTGAAGACTATATGGTATGGTTGGTTCAACTATATGCTTCTAGTTTCAATTTCCAGATGGTCTCAGTGTGAAGCTTCTGTTCTTCAAACAACGCATGAGCGAACAATATTGTTTTCATTCAGACGGTCATCAGTCTTTACTCTAATATCTATGAATATTCACATATTCGATGAGCATACGATAAAGAGAAGTAAATCATTTCGAGTAATCTATTGTAAACCTCATTCATTTCCCAATGGCGTTCAATCCCGTCTGATGCATGTAGAAGAAGCTCTATGTATCGGAACCTATTGACCTAGTTTCAGTTCAGAAGAAATTCCAGACCCCTCTGTTCATTCCGTGGTCTGATACGGCCTAATAGACGATTCCATATTCGTTTGTTATTCTTCACCCCTTTCCGTTTATATTCTTCAGTAAAGTCTGGTGATGCTCTAATTGAAAACAAAATTGTTGGCTTATTTTATTGTTGGTTTGCGTCGATTGTTTTTCTTACCAATTGTAAGTGGATTTCGTGCGCTTGCTAGATCGTTTACTCACATTTTCTTCTTTACCAGCTCTTCTCACCTATGCTACTCTGCACGCTCCCCCACTATACAAAATACCTTCTAGCTAGGTACGAACGGCTATTTATGGTAAGACAATAGTGCAACAAACGTAACATTGTTTTTACGTTTTGGAAGAACTATGTATGGTATTACTTGAAATATATTCTGATATATGTATATATGTTGTTTACCACGTTTCAAAATAGTGTTTGACATTATTTTATACATAAATAAATTTGATTCTATGTGGAATAAAACATATTTATCACATATGGTGATTTACTGCACTTATAACTTTACATCGATTTTCAGTTTTTGGCTTGAGAAGGTTTTCTTTCAGTTTTGTTTCGTGATTCTTTCGGTGTTGTTTCCGTATTGGTTTTTCTTCCTCCACGTTTGCTTTTAGATTTATAAGTTCCATAGACATGATCTTTTGCATACTTTTTCTTTGGTTTAGCTTTAATTTTAAATTTATCTTTAATATATGAACTAGCATATCGATCCAAACTTCCAATTGTCGGTATACTGTCGGAATCCTTTCCACTACGTTTACCATATTTTGTGATTTTACCACCATACTGAAATGTAGATGCTTCTGAATCAATATCATCAAAAATTGAGTCACTACGAGAGGAGAAAATATCTTCATAGCGTTTACCACCTGCCTTGTTTGATAATCTCTTATTATAATAATTGTTTCTATTATTTTTGGACGAACTGTCTTTTCCGCTAGTACTGTGAGTTGCATTCATTACTTCTCCCTCTACTTTCTCAAACATGTACTCAACTGATCGACCTATAAAGGATTGCGTATTTTCTAATGTTATTACATTGAATGTCATATAACTGATTAGTAGTAGTAAAGGGAGATTAATAATACTTTCTTCCATCACAATAAGAACTAAGGGAAATAAACCAAACTCTTCTACGCATTTCGCCAACTTGATCAACTATACATATTTATATGAATTTGTTCTTCATATGACACAGTTACTAAGTACATTTTGAGGAAATAATGAATATTTTAACATTTATTACATGATCACTAGAAATCCTATGCTATTCAGTAACCAGAAAACAGTTATCAATTGTCTGTCTTTTGTAGAATAAACGATCGACCACCAACCATTGATATTAATTTTGTTAACATTGATATTCTGCTTTAGCCATGATCGCATTGCGAAATCTCACAGTGAATTTATTCTCATATAACACTTGATGCGCAGCAGCTAAAGTGTAAATCTACAGTTTAATTTACTAGTCAAGAAGACAAAAGGTTTCTTATTCCAGATTGTGATTGATCCCTCCCCATAGTGAAAACATGTTTTACGTGATCACTAGAAATCCTATACTTTTCAATAACTAGAGTATGGTTATCGACTGATTGTCGTCTGAGTTTTGTAGAATAAACGATTGATCACCAAACATTGGTATAAATTTGGTGACCATTTAGATATAGTGATATTTTTAATTAAATACTCTCATTCACTATCTTAGGTTGAATTTTTGTGATCTCCCGTTCAATGAGTTATAAAGTTCTGATGGGAGAGGGATAGGTAATAGTCATATTTTCTATCGATTAATATAAGATGAATTGAAACCTACTTCGATTATCTTATTGATTGCAGTCTGCAACTACAATATATATACATTATTTTTATTTACAGGTTCATTTCACAGTAATTATCTCGTAGATTTAAATAATCAGACTACAGTTGTTTTCATATTGAACCATTCTCATACTGAATGAATATAAATAACAGAAATTGTCAGAACACAGTCGACTTTTACAACGAAAGAGTATCATATTCAACTGATCAATAATATTACGCTTTAACGAGAATCGTGAATCAAGCCGAAATATTGTCATATTCATTGTATTCCTGTAAAGGATGTTCATTGGAAAAGGTGTAATTGTTCATAACTTCGTCTCGATTTATTTCGACTTCCGAATATATGGCACTATGAGAGAAATTTCCTATTTCTGAATCAATTTCGTTTTTAGATGCAATGCTATTTGACATCGTGTTATACCTCTCATTTCTCCTGTTCCGAGTCGTAACATGAGACTGCCTATTCCTCTTATTTGATGACAGGTTTTTACCACGTATTCGGTCACTTAAAATATTTTGATTTTTCTGTTTCGCTTTACTATACAACAATTTTGTGCTATTTATTTGATAAGATGAAGTCTTAAGATCTGTGTAATAAATGGTTATCTGAAAACCTACGGAATCAGGCAACACATAATTTCCCTGATCACGAACCACCATAATAATAATTATTATTATTTTACTCTTATGCAGTAGTTTCTGTTTGTTTTGTTCTTTTAATATACGCGCTTTACATTTCGTATCTCTTCACAACTCCATTGCTATTGTGTGGCTCATATGTGTATGGTGCCCGATTGTAACAATATTTATCTGTTCAAATAATTGAATAAAATGATCGTGCTGCATATTCGAGTAAGTGAGACCAGATGGATTATATCTTAGAACACAAAAACAGGGAGAAAATCGTACGCTTTACCTTCCATGTATTTACGTCCTGATAATCGTGGTGGTGAAGTAACTTCTTGTCCCCGATCATGATCAGTTGAATTCTGTCCACCTGAATTGAAGGTAAGGTAGATAGAAGGACCATTGCCACCGGATAGACCACTCAGTGATCCGTTTCTTCGTCCAGATAATGTTGGTGGAAAATAATTATGGTGATGTGAACTCGATCCACTTGCACCGACAGTTCTGTAGATTCCTGGACCATTTTCACCAGAGAGACCACTCAATGATCCATACTTTCGTCCGGATAATACTGGTGAAAATTTACCATGCTTTCCATATGTTTTGTGATGTGAATCCTGTCCACTTGCATTCACAGTTATGTGGTTACGTATATGATTTTCACCAGAGAGACCACTCAATGATCCGTTTCTTTTACCAGATAATTGTGGTGGAAAATCTTGATTTTGATATGAACTCGATCCA